TCATTGCTGGTGGGAAAGCAAAAAGGTACAGACATTTTGAAAGATAGTTTGACAGTTTCTTACAAATCTAAACATAGTCTTCTTCTTCTTCTTGTTCAGTCACTCAGTCATGTCCAACTCTTTGCAACACCATGGACTGCAGCTCTCCAAGCTTCCCTGTCCATCAGCAACTCCCAGAGCTTGCTCAAACTCATGTCCACTGAGTCGGTGATGCCATCCAGCCATCTCATCCTCTGTTGTCCCCTTCTCCTGCTCTCAATCTTTCCCACCATCAGAGTTCTTTTCCAATGAGCTGGCTGTTCGCGTCAGGTGGCCAAAGTATCAGAACTTCAGCTTCAGCATCAGTCCTTCCAATGAATATTTAAGATTGATTTCCTTTAGGATGGATTGCTTTGATCTCCTTGCTGTCCAAGGGACTCTTCGAGAGTCTTCTTCAGGACCACAGTTTGAAAGCATCAGTTCTTTAGTGCTCAGCCTTCTTCATGGGCCAACTCTCACATCTGTACATGGAAGAACCATATACAGCTTTTCTACTGGAAAAACCATAGCTTACCAAACAATCTAGCAATTGTTTTCCTTGGTATGTATCTAAAGGAGTTGAAAATTTAAGACCACACAAAAACCTGCATATAAATGTTTATAGCAACTTTCTTTACAATTTATTTACAATTGCCAAAACATGAAAGCAACCAGGATGTCCCTGAGAAGGGGAATGAATAAATTTGGTACATCCAGACAATGGAATATTGAGCACTAAAAAGAAATCAGCTATCAACTCATGACATGACCTGAAGGCACCTTAATGCATATTACTAAGTGCAAAAAACCATTATGAAAAGGTTGTATACAGTCTAATGCCAATGATATGACATTCTGGAAAACTATGATGATAGCCAAATAGATGGGGAAATTCATGACAGATAGATGGGGAAACAGTGACAGACTTTTATTTTCTTGGGCTCCAAAAATCACTGTGGACAATGACTGCAGCAGTGAAATTAAAAGACTCTTGCTCCTTGGAAGAAAAGCAATGACAAACCTAGACAGCATATTAAAAAACAGAGACATTACTTTGCCTACAAAGGTCCATATAGTTAAAGCTATGGTTTTTCCAGCAGTCTTGTATGAATGTGAGAGCTGGACAATAAAAAAGACTGAGCGCAGAATAATGAATGCCTTCAAATTGTGGTGCTTGAGAAGACTCTTGAGAGTCGCTTGAACAGCAAGGAGATCCAGCCAATCAACCCTAAAGGAAATCAACCCTGAATATACATTGGAAGGAGTGATGGTGAAGCTAGAGCTTCAATACTTTGGCCACCTTATGCGAAGAGTCAACTCATTGGAAGAGATCCTGATTCTGGGAAAGATTGAAGGCAGGAGGAGAAGGGGAGGACAGAGGATGAGATGGTTGGATGGCATCACTGACTCATTGGACATGAGTTTGAGCAAGCTCTGGGAGATGGTGAAGGACAGGGAGGCCTGGCATGCTGCAGTCCCTGGGGTCTCACGACTGAGCAACAACATGATGATAGACAGTAAAAAAATTCACTAGTTGCCAAGAGTTGTGGAGGATGAGGGGAGTTAGCAGATAGGACAGTAAAAATTTTTAGGGTAGTGAAAATACTTTGTACTATGCCATCTTGATTGAAGCATATTATTAGACATTTATTCAGACCCATAATTGCTCAGTTGGCAAAGAATTAGCCTGCAATGCTGGAGACCCCGGTTCAGTTCCTGAGTCGGGAAGATCCAATGGAGATGGGATAGGCTACCGATTCCAGTATTTTCCCTTGTAGCTCAGCTAGTAAAGAATCTGCCTGCAGTGCAGGAGACCTGGGTTTGATCCCTTGGTTGGGAAGATCCTTGGAGAAGGGAAAGGTTACCCACTTCAGTATTCTGGCCTAGAGAATTTTATGGACTGTATAGTCCATGGGGTCACAAAGAGCTGGACACGACTGAGTGACTTTCACTTTTTAAAATTTGTTTTCATAGAATGCTCAACACCAAGAAAGAATAGGATTGTAAACTATGAATTTTGAGTGATTATGGCATGTCATCATAAGATCAGCAGTTGTAACAGCTGGTGGGGGATGTTGACAGGGGTGGAGGTCGTGCATGTGTAGGGACAAGTATGATATGGGGAATCTCTGTACCTTCCCCTCAGTTTTGCAGTGAATCTCAAACTGTTCTAAGAAAGTATTAAGAGAAATGAACCTTGACCTATTCTTACACGATATAAAAGATTAACTAAAAATGGACCATGGATTTAAATATAAAACTATAACATGGAGAAAAAAATGTAGGAAGGGATCTTCATAATATAGGCTTAGGCAGATAGTTTTTAGACTAGGCACCACAAGCACAGTCTATAAAATGAAAAATAAATAATTTGCGCTTCCTCAAAATTAAAAATATTACCCTGAGTAAGGCTCTGTTAAGAGGATAACAATCCAAAACACAGACTAGGAGAAAATATTAGGAGGCTTTGTATCTGACAAAGGATTAGCATCTGAAATATTGTAAGAACAAATCAACATTCGAACAAGCAAACAATCCATAGATAATTGACAATGGGCAATTGTTAAATGGGCTTCCCTGGTGGCTCAGGTGGTAAAGAATCTTTCTGCAATGTGGGAGACACAGGTTTGATCCCTGTTTGGGATCCAGATCCCCTGGAGAAGGGATTGGCTACCCACTCCAGTATTCTGACCTGGAGAATTCCATGGACTGTATAGTCCATGGGGTTGCAAAGAGTCAACATGATTGAGTGATAAACACTTTTACTTTCAGTTGTTAAATGGAAATAAAGAGACATTTCACTTAAATGGATAACACAAATGACAAGAAAGCACATTACAGAATGTTCAACATAATTAGACATTAGGGAAATAAAACCAAAAGGAATACCACTGCATTCAGACTTAAATGCTGATAGGAATGCAGAGAAACTGGATCGCGTATACATTGCTGGTGGGAATGTAAAACAGTTTATTCACCCTGGAAAAAGATTTGGCAGTTTCTTTTTTAAAGAAAACACTAAATATGCAACTATGATATAATCTAGCAATTGCATTTCTGGCATATATCCCAGAAAAATGAAAACTTATGTCCAGTGAAGGCTGTGCTGAATACTTATAGCCCCAAACTGGAAAAAATCTAGATGTCTTCTTTTCAAGAAGAGTGGTTAAACAAATTGTGGTACTTTCATACCATGAAGTCGAGACATGAGACAACCTGAGTGAATCTGTCAGGAGTTATGCTGAGTGGAAAAATACAGTCCAAAATGTTTACATAATGTGTGATTCCATTTATATAATGTTTTAAAATGATAAAATTATACAAATGGAAAACATACGAATGATTGTCAGGAGAATAGTAGGGAGTGAAGGTGAAAGGGAAGTGACTGTGGCTGCAATAGGCAGCATGAGGTTTCTTTGGTTTTGGACGGTTTTGGTACCTTTACCATGCCATTTCAATTTTCTGATTGAGATACTATAGTAGAGCTTTGCAGAAATGTTTCCAGGAAATATTGGGCAAAGAATACAGAATATCTCTCAACAGACCTTCATACAACTATAAGGGAATCTATAATTATCTCAACCTAAAAAGTTTAAATATTCACATTTATTAGCTCACTTTTTTTAATATTCTATTGGACAAGCCCATCACACTCAAGGGGAGGGGCTGCACGAGGTCATGGGAACTAGAAAGCAGGAATGATCGGGCTCTCTGAGTCTCTTCTGAACATATGCTGATACACATTCCTTCCAGAGTCAGTTTTGGTTTAATTAGGAGTGTGTAAACTACCTTCTTAAATATTTGGCAGCTGTATAATGTGATTTAAAATGTTATCAGTTATGTTCTACATTTATAGTAGAAATGGACCTTGGAGAGGCTGAAGCATTTTTACCATAAGAATTGAGACATATTCACACAAGCTGGGAAATATTACATCTTATTTACATCAGATATTTTTAGATTATATGTTAAATCATTTGGACTTCTACAGAATGTGTTATATTGCTGTGTTTGAAACTTAGTAACCTAAAGAGGGTAATGTAATATCACCAAAGACAACATCATTATTTATGTTCTGGAAGAAACTTTTTCTACATCTTTGAGGCAAAAATTGTCTTTTCTAGGAGCTTCTTAGTTGCCTTGAAAAGCTTAGAAATACTTTAAAAATATTAAAAAAAAATACTCCCTGTGACATCTTTTGTATAGTGAATCTATTCAAGTTCCCAGTGACTTAGTATATATACTCAAAGTACAAATCCTTTGTTAAGAAGCACATTTTAGATTTTTTTTGCAAAAATATTCATTGCTGACTTCTTTTTATATACTAGAATATTTATTAGAAATATTAAAGTATTTTCTTTTTAGAAAATTGCAATATGACATTTTCATTCTTCTTGTATTTCTTTTGTGCCTCCAAGGTTTCTTAAATATTCCTTATGGTACTTCTGAAAATAATTTGGCAATGTTTCTTAATGCCAAAATAATGTAGATCATCCGGAAATCATAATGATGAAAAAATTATCATCATCATCATCACATGACTAATTCACAAATACCTGATACCAGGGTAGCGCTAATCTCTGTAACAACAAAAATATGTCCAATCAGAAATGAACTCTCTCTGCTTTCCCTCTCCTCAAAAAAGAAGATAAAAAATGTTCCCCTCCCTCTAGCATATTTGGCAAGAAAGAGATTTGTCTTATATCCCTGATGAATCATTCCCCATATGGCCCCTGCTTCCCTGTGCTGTCTGGTCTGACCTTGCGCCCTGAAGCTCCGGCTGCTTTGCTCCGAGACTGAACACGGGCCCCTTTTGTATCATCCCTCGTGGCACCACTAGCCAAGACTGCTGACGGGAAGTGCCCTCTGCTAAAATTTGGGAAGTAATAGGGCCATTTATTGCATATTACTGAAGAAAGAACAACTTAAGATTGTGACAGTCAGGGTTCTTAAAAGTTTTCTTTTCTTTCTTTTTTTTTTAGCTTTCTCTGAGTTGGAGAATGTGTCTTTGGCCAATATTCTTACCTGACCTCTGCCATTTGTGAGATGCTCAGCCTCCACTCCGACCTCTCCATCACCTGTCCCAGTGGCCTGGAGGGAACTTCCAGATGTGTTCTTTTATTCTGCAGAGCACTCTGCCATCCTCCGAGGTCACATCCATAAGGCCGTGGCTTTCATAATTCTGAAAGCAACCGTCTAGCTGTTTTACTGAGTAAGAGTCGTTTGCTGCTTAAAAATAATTCTCGTTATCTTCCCAAGGCATCTACCTCAACCTCTTGGCAGGTTTAAAAAGAACAGCTTTTCATCCAGCTTCATCATAATAACCATTACCATTCACTAAGACATAAAACACTCATAATTATCATTTATTGAGCTCTTCCGTCATGCTATGGCCCTTGGCCATCGTATGTGTTTTACACTTTACATATTTTGAATCATTTAGCTCTCAACTCCATTATTATTCCATTTTACAATATAGTGATTGTGAGAAGAGGCTGTGTTTTTAAAATCATGTATATCCCCACAAATCTACCAGATGAAAGCTCTAATATCCCAAGATTTCAAAAGTAGGGAGACCCCATATATGGAATTTGATAACTTTCCAGCTAAATGGGAAAAACCAGGTGTTTCTGGCTACAGAATCTCCCAAATTAATCACAAATTAATATACAAACATAGAGAAAATTCTTTTGAAGAAAGATGTACGCTTTTATGATATTATCTGTTGTGATAGCTAGAATAATGTCCCACCCCCTCACCCAGGTATCTACCTCCTAATTCCAGGAACCTATGAATAAGTTAGATTACATGACAAAGGGAAATTAAGATCATAGTTGGAGTTATAGTTGCTAATCAACTGACCTTAAAATACGGAGATTATCCTCAATTATTCCATAGGCCAGTGTCATTACAAGGGTCTTTTTAATGTGGTAGAGGGAGAAAGAAGAGGCAGCATCAAGGTGATTCCATGTAAACAAAACCTGACTGGCTTTGAAGGTGGGATGAGGACTTGAGCCAAGGAGTACCGGTGGCCTCAAGAAAGTAGAAAAGGTGAGAAAACGGAATCTCTCTAGAGCCTTCAGAAAGGAAGATCACCTGCTGACATCTTTATTTAGACCTATAAGACACACTTTTACACTTCTGATTTCCAGAAATGTAAGATAATTCATTTGTATTGCTTTAAGATATTAAATTTGTGTTAATTTTTTACAACAGCAATAGGGAACTAACACATCTGTTTTCATTTTTTATTATCTTATTCCACTGTTCCCAGTTTGAAAATTATGCTTGATTGATGTATCAGTTGACACATGACATTGACACTATCTGTTTCAGTTTTCCTTCCCCTTGACACTTCCAAGTAGCAGAACTTATATTTTTGTTTCTTCTTGATAGTTACAAATTTCAACATCCATTTTGTTTATCATTTAAAGACAATAACTAGTCTTCTTTGGAATTCAAGCTTCCATAATTTATTTCAGTCAAAGATAAAGTATAGCAACAGAATGTTCGTTAGATAGCATGAAGCCTAGAGGAGGTGAAACTCAATGAAACACAAAAGCAGAGTTATTTTTAAGTAGATATTTTCTAGGTAAAGGACATGGAGTGGTAGCCACGTGCAACCGTAGTGCAATCATAGTGAAGGCAGCCACATATAACACCATGGTTGAAAAAACAAATGCTCAAATTGGGAGATTACTGGAACAGACAATGTAAATAGGACAGGGAATGAGAGATGAGATTGGAAAGGATCCTAACCTAGATTAAAAGGGGTGTGAATATCCTTCTAGGAATTTTGGATTTTATCTTAGACATTATGGGGAATTTAAGGGAACATTTCATCAAAAAGTTCAACTATGAACTTGATCATAGTTTGGAAAGTAAACGGTGGAGGCAGGGCAGTGAATGGAATTATGATGCAAGTCTAGAGATAGGGAAATGAATCAAGAGGTCTTTTGGTACCCTAGGAAAAGGATAATAGTAGTTACAACATATGGTGGTGGCCCTGGGGGTAGAAAGAAGTAGAGAGATTTGAGTGATATCAGGACAGAATCAGTAGTACCTGTTGACTAAATGTGGACTGTGAGAATGCAAAAGAAATTATGTTGATGCCATAGACAACAAGATGTAAGTATGATCACCAATCTGGAGAATATAGCAGATTTGAGATAAGATGTCATGTTTGGTTTTGGTTGAGTTTGAGTTGCTGTGGTTCATGGTGTTAAAAATATGAATCACTGTCATTTTCTCCTGGATTTTTACTCACTGTTCGTGTTGAGTATCCTCTTGAGTTTTCAGGACCTAATTCTTGCAAGTTGGTAAATGATCAGAGTCTTCCTTTGGCATGTGTTGTCCCAGCCTCTGCAAGAAATCTGTGATCATGTGCAGAGACATCTTTCATTATTTTAAGTCCACTTTTGTGTGACTCATTTGCAAATTCACAAAATAATTAAACTTTAGAACATCATAAATACATAGTGGGAAACCACATAGAGACTTGATATTTAATAAAGAAGTAGTGTTAACAGTGAAAGCTTACGAAATAACAAACTGACACAGCTGAAGCAAGTAAATCAGACAAGGACATGACAAGACCTGTAAGAGGTCAATATGACATTTGAGACAATTGGTGAAAAGGTTTTCTTGACTGCTTCAATATTTTGCTTCAGCCATAACAAAGATCTGTGAATGACATAGTAATGTCAAATACATGACAATGGAACCTATTAATCTGCCTACTGTTCTGTTTATTGAGCTGAATGGGACAGTTGTTTGTACCTCACCAAGTAAAAATAAATTGCTGTTGGACTTGTTCTAGTGTTAAAGACTTGTTAATGTATATTGAGGATTATCTATTAATGTCTAGTACTATGCTGAATGTGATGGGGAAGTTAAGGAAAATATAATATGGGATCCCTATCCCCAAGGAGCTTACATCTCTCTTAGGAGACGCTAGATTAACAAGTATAAGAAACCATGAAAGTTATTTTAAAAGACTAAATAAAATCAATTATCTATGTTTCATATATAAATAATTCAATAAATGCTAGCTGAATTCACCTCTAGTATTTTGTTTTATTATTATGACAGTTCTAGAGAGCAAAATATTATTTACTCTATGGAAATGGTATAACTCCTTGAAAATATATTTCCGATATGTTGCTCGGAAGTTTGTAGAGGAAAGATTATGCATTTATATTTAGCTAACCAGCCAGCATATCAAAAAGGTATATCTACTAATTACCAAATTGACATTTCTAGCATGTAACTTTAGTGTAATTCATGAATAGCCTGTATAAATGAGAGCGTATGATTAAGCCAGTGTGATATGAATTGAGGTTTGGGACCTTTGAAAACCTGCCTTTAGCCACAGAAGAGTGACTTCCTACAAGGGCAAAGGATGGATATTTTAAAAGTCTGGGAGAGCCTGTCTAACATGTTAAGTCTGTGCTCTGTGGAGCAAATCCCTTGCTTGCCTTAAAAAAGATTGATTTTTGATGTAAAGGCACATTTAATCAGACCTTTGAAAGTCTGAAGAGTGTCTGTAAGGGTTTGCTTCTCGGTGGATTGGAAATCTATTAGTATATAGCCAGGAGGTCACTGAATAGCAGAAATAAGATTTTTCAAGAGTTCTGATGCAAAATTTGTTGAGACATACCAAAGTACTGAATTTCTAAAAGCACAGTGCTGAAGCTCTTCTAACAGAAATAAGACTAACAGAATACATGCTCATGAGTATATTGCTGTGGCCATGCTTCCTTCAGGTTGTAGTAAAAGTTAGCCAAACTTGCAGACACTTAAAAAAAAAATCTGGGAACTTATAAAACATATTACCAACTAGGAAATATTTTTGTGGCATTGGCCATAATATTTAATGATTCTGGCTTCTTCCAAATCCTTTATGGAACAAAGTATATACTCTATTATCTGTCAGCTAAGTTGTATTTTGTACACGTATAAGCTGTGCTCATAATGACGCTTTACCAGCCCACAAGACAGAGGAATGCCTTTTGTATCTTCTTTCATTTGGTTTAATACTGTTAATTTCTAAAGTGTCATCCCTGTTTTTTAGTTTGACTCCCTTTCCATCAGTTTTCCACTCTGTCATCATGATAAACTCTCTAAAACCCAAACGAAATCGTGTTACCCATTGCTTCAAATCCTTCCATCATCATTGTTACCAGCAGGATAAAAGCCAACACCGGAAGCAGTGAATGACTGGGGCAAGTCACTTGGACAAACAGTCAGTGTGTGTACACCAGCTGGCCTCCACACCGGACCCCAAGCACGGGAGGAGTGCTGCAGCCGTCAAAGCGAGGTAGCAGCTGGGAGATGACAGTCTCTAAGGTGCGTTTCGTATGCCAGGAGTCCAGATGAAGCCGATTCTACCCATAAATAGTATTTTGCTCAGTTTCTTATTTTCATATCACATATAATTGAAATATATGTTATACTCAAATTCAATAGGAGTTGTTTCCTTACTATAATACTTTACAAAGAACGATTAACAAGGAGATAAAAAGAAAGATGAGAAATCATGTAGAAGACAGAAGATATTTCTTCAGTTACCTTTTTGTTAACATACTCTGATCCCACCATGTTTCTCCTATCTTGGTGTGGGCTTAAAAAAATGTGCACAAGGTGGAAGTTGCAAGTTACATTTTATTTGTGGCAAAAGGAGGACTATAAGTCAGGAGATAGCATTTCAGTCAGCTCTGAGAAACTGCCCCAAAGAGGTAGGGGGGGAGGTTAGTATGTATGTGACTTGAGTGGAGGGACAGCATATGCAATCAAAAACATACACACACACACACACACACACACATTTGCAGACAGTTTCTGCTAGTCACATGGAGTAGTCATTACCAGGATGGATTTTAGTGCTTTTCTAGATATGAGGAAATACAAGAATTAGGTTCATAAAATTGGCTCCTGAAAATACCTAACTATGTGAAGACCTGTTCTGCCAGTTTTTCCCAGAGCACAGAGTGCCTCGTTTTTGCTCTCCACCCTGATATTTCAGAGTGTGTTGAAAGAGTCAGCAGTTGCGGCAACACATGGTTTAATCCTTGTAGAAGTAGACGCCAGGTGCCAATTTATACTTGACACTGGATATTAACAAAAGTGCTGCAAGTCGATATGTTTTCCTTCTCATTTTCTCAATTTTTTATCTCCAGAACTAGCATTTCTTTGTACTTAGTTTTTCCTGTTGATGTCTAATTTCCTCTGTGCTGACTCCTTCTTTCCCAAACTTGGGGTCCACATTCTTCCATGAATGTGTGATTAAGTGTCATTACTCTCCACGGATATTACTGGCTCAAGTTTCTCTCTTCTCAAAATCACTAAACTTCACATTTTCAGTAACATAGTTCAATATCCTCAAGGGAGAACCTAAAATTTATGCACTCTCTATATATATCACTTTCTTTGCTACTTTGAAGTTACTTACCTACTTCCCAGAGAGGGTTTTAATTCTTCTTTCCACACTGATTTCAGTGTTTGTTTCATAGTCCTTTATTTTATCTTGTTTCTGACTTTGTATCTGAGACTGCTAATTGTCTCCCAATTATGCAGACTCCCAATATGCAGTCTTTATTTCTTCTTTTTAATAAAGAGCCTCATTAGATTTTCTGGAACAGAGTCAGCCAGTCAGAGATATATATTTCAACCGTTTTTGCATCTGGGCAGCGGGCTGTGAGAATAGGAGCTGCACCACTGCCAGATCAGCTGCCTTAAGCTTCTCTTTGCCTTCTTGCAAACTGATTCATGAACCCGATGGAGAGAGTTTGGACTACTTGGAAAAGGAAAACAGCCTCAGGGATGGTAGAGAAATAAGAGAGAACCTGAATTTCTGTATTATTTTGTAGGGTTAAGTTCCCACCAATACTCACCTGTAACTTTAGGGAACAGAATACTTATTCGAATGAGTGTATTTCGGGGTTTGTTGTAAAAACAGCTTAGCCAGCACCAACTTAACTGACAAAGCATCTTGATAACACTTCTGAAATCCCCAAGAATATCTCCCTTCTATTCAAAGACTACCATTTCTTTTTTCTATCTCAGCCATGCCCATCTATTTTAATAACCTCTGTATACCAAGAAGTGTAATATCAAAATCCCCTCTTGAGTTGTGATTTATGGTCCTTAATTGTTACATACTTTTAACTCTATTTTTAGCACCACAGTTCTAGACTGACTGGTCTCCTTTATCTGCCTGGATGCCTATTTAGGAGTATAAAGAGACAGAATAGTCAGGAGAGAAAAACTAAGCATCTGTTTGAAAAAAGAGGGAGAAGGTATTTACCAATATCACATGCTGCTGAGAAGTCAGATAAGATGAAAGTTATCAGACAAAGGTTATAACTGGATGTAGAAAGTTAGGAATGCGGTGAGTTTAGTGGTTGGATTACTTTGAGGAATAAGTAGACACAGATGATGTTACTAATTCTAGAATTCTATAAATGTAAGGGAAAAGCAAGCAGAATTTAATAAATCTTACTCTGTATCACATTTCAAACAGAGACTTTCCTTACTCTAACTCCACTTTTGCTTCCCCTGTTCTTCCCCCAACACTTATTTTTACCCTATCCCTTGTCTCCCAGCTTATTCAGAAGATTGAAATGGTTTGACTGATCAGACTCACTTCCTTCAGTTTGAAACAGTCTCCATGTACATGTTGACTAGAAAACATGCACAACGTAGAAGTTCAGAGTTATGTTTTATTTGGTGGACATTCTTACGATGTCAAGTCTGGAAGGCAGGATCTCCAGTAACCCACAGAAAAGTGCTCCAAGGAGGTGAGGGGGGAGCTAGGATATAGTTTTGCAATAAAGGGCAGGTGGTTGGAAGGTGTAAAGACTATTGTTAACTGAAGAAAGCTAGATATCTCAAGTTAAGGAATTTAATGTTTTTCTTTGTATGGGAAGATGGGAGAGTCCGGCTCAATGAAATAACTCCTTTGATATGCACCTCAGCTACCTGGGGCCTGTGTATCCTGCGTTTTCACATTCTGAGTTTTCTCAGACTGCTCCCTTCGGGCTGGCTGCAGTCTAGTGACTGCTAGATGGCAGGTATCTTTTGGTTCCTTCCTGAGTTCCCTTTGGGCTCACCATCAGGAGGCTGCCGTTGCTGATGACTGGGGCATCTTTTGTTTCCTGGCGTGGCCGGCAGTATTTTATTTCCCATGTGTATAATCTCACTGTTGTTTCCTTGCGCTTCGAACAAACCTCCCTCCCTTGTTCGTGCTATAGTCTGCAACATGCACATGATTTGTCTTAGGCCACTTCCTTAAAACTTTCAGCAACTGCTATTCATTTCCCCATCCCCCGGCCTTCCTTCTATAATCACCACCTTCTCTTTGCCTGTAGTAACAAATTCATGTCTCTTCATCCTCAGTAAACCTCGTCCCTCAACCTCAGTTGCTTTCAAACAGCTTTCCAGTCCTTTCTTTGGTTACCAAGCTTGTTGCCAGAACTTTGGCTTGATGCTTCCTTTGTCTCTCACTATGCCAGAGTACCGTGTGATCTGACATCGTTCCTAGTGTTCTGTCTCAAAATTCACAGTGATCTCCTAATCATCTTTATGTCTTTATCTGACTTAGACATTCTACACACTTCTTTCTTTTAGCCTTTTTGTCCAAATTTTTAAAAATTTAATTTCTTTGTTGATAGATAATACCTACTTTCTATAAAAAATTTTGCAATATACATAAAGTCATTAAAGTGACATATGATGTAAAAATATATCCAGATAAGATTATTTTAAATTGTTTTGGTTTTCTTTGTAATCTCTCATCTGATCTATTTTAAAAGATGTTTCCATGGTTATAAAAATTTTTGCTGTTTTTCTTTAAGATAAAAATATATAAGCTCAATTCTACCAAGTATATGTTGACACTTTGCTCATTTTTATTTAATATTATAAATAATAATGTATATTAAATCTGCCAGTGGTGTGCTGTATCCATCAGTTACCCTTGAATTACTACAGATGCTATTTTATGCCTTGTTGCCATTTATTATGGGGAAAATATTCATCCCTACAGCCTTCATTTATATTATTACCTTCATTTATAAAATGTGACTTTGTGCATTTGAATCTTAAATTATGCATTGTCTACTATTAATACTGGTACTCCTGGTGTTTTAAAATTCTGTTTGCTTATATACATTTGCCCACAGTTTTAATTCTGTTTGCATACTATTTTCTATTATTTCCTTCCATCCATTCATTCATTATTTCCCTCAAATAATATTTTTTGTGTCAATGTTGTATCTTACATTAATGATATAATGCTGTATAAGATAGGCCCAGTGCATGCCTTCAGAGGGTTTATAGTCTAGTGGATGACATAAATAAGATGATTATAGTACAATTGATAAGCATAGTTATGGGGAAATTCTGATGAACAAATAATTATAGTACAATTCATAAGCTTCAGTTTAGTTCAGTTTAGTTCAGTCGCTCAGTCGTGTCCGACTCTTTGTGACCCCATGAACCGCAGCATGCCAGGCCTCCCTGTCCATTACCAACTCCCGGAGTTTATGCTTAGAGTGTGTGTGTGTGTGTGTGTGTGTGTGGTTTTTGTTATTCATTTGGTTGGAACATGACTAGTCTTTCGATCTCAAAACCCAGATTTTTAGCAGCTGGATAATTTTTTTGGAATTTGTCTCGGATTATTGTTTAGCCTACTTACCCTGCTTTCCCTTTGGAGATCTCTCTTGTAGAGGCTGCATTGCATCTGCCCTACCATTTTCCTCATTTTCTGTCTATGCACCCTCTCTGCCCTTTTACACTCAGTTCCTCAGTATATTCTCGGTCCTGCCCTGTGCATCACTAATTAAATTTTCTGCAGTGTCAGGTCTGCTAATTATTGATTCAGACTAAAGTGTTTGTTTTTTTAGTTCAATGAATGTGCTATTTATCAACAGTTTTTCCTCATCTTTGTCATCCGTTTCTGTTTCACAGGGACATTGTTTCACTGGTTTGTTTTACTTCTGTTGTTTTAAGGATAATGTGAATTTACTGAGTCAGACTCTGTTCTTATATTGAAACTCTTTCTCATATGTCTCTTACTGGTCTTTTTTTTTTGAAGTTATCTTTTAAAAAATAAATGTACATTTCATATAGTTTTGCAATTATTGTAAATTATAGTATTACAGTTATGTGTTGCTCTGGGTTTTGTCACAAATTGTCACAGTTCTCCATCCAAATCTATCATAGAGGATCCCCTCAAGTTGCCCTCAATCTTCCTCCTAAGAATCTTAATAGAGTGTCTCACTTTTCACCTTAAATTAACGTGTCCAAACTAGACTAAGTATTATCATCTTCTGAAGTCCCA